GCCCCATTCTCCCTCCTTCCATCACCCCGCCCCATTCTCCCTCCTTCCATCACCGCCCCATTTCTCCGCTTCATCCCCTCCGCCCATTCTCCCGCTTCCCATAACCCCACCCCCTTCTCCTGCTTTCCATCACCGCCACATTCTCCCGCTTTCTATCACCCCGCCCCATTCTCCCTCCTTCCATCAACCCGCCCCATTCTCCGCTTTCCATCACCCCGCCCCATTCTCCCGATTTCCATCACCCCGCCCCATTCTCCCGCTTTCCATCACCCCGCCCCATTCTCCCGCTTCCCATAACCCCACCCCATTCTCCCGCTTTCCATCATCCCGCCCCATTCTCCCTCCTTCCATCACCCCGCCCCATTCTCCCGCTTTCCATCACTCCGCCCCATTCTCCCTCCTTCCATCACCCCGCCCCCATTCTCCCTCCTTCCATCACCCCGCCCCATTCTCCCGCTTTCCATCACCCCGCCTCATTCTCCCGCTTCCCATAACCCCACCCCATTCTCCCGCTTTCCATCACCCCGCCACATTCTCCCGCTTTCTATCACCCCGCCCCATTCTCCCTCCTTCCATCAACCCGCCCCATTCTACCGCTTTCCGTCACCCCGCCCCATTCTCCCGATTTCCATCACCCCGCCCCATTCTCCCGCTTTCCATCACCCCGCCCCATTCTCCCGCTTTCCATCACCCTGCCCCATTCTCCCGCTTTCCATCATCCCGCCCCATTCTCCCTCCTTCCATCACCCCGCCCCATTCTCCCGCTTTCCATCACTCCGCCCCATTCTCCCTCCTTCCATCACCCCGCCCCATTCTCCCTCCTTCCATCACCCCGCCCCATTCTCCCGCTTTCCATCACCCCGCCCCATTCTCCCGCTTCCCATAACCCCACCCCATTCTCCCGCTTTCCATCACCCCGCCACATTCTCCCACTTTCCATCACCCCGCCACATTCTCTCTCATTCCATCACCCCGCCCCATTCTCCCTCCTTCCATCACCCCGCCCCATTCTCCCGCTTTCCATCACCCCGCCCCATTCTCCCGCTTTCCATCACCCAGCCCCATTCTCCCGCTTTCCATCACCCCGCCCCATTTTCCCGCTTTCCATCACCCTACCCCAATCTCCCGCTTTCCATCACCCCACCCCATTCTCCCTCCTTCCATCACCCCGCCCCATCCTCCCGCTTTCCATCACCCCGCCCAATTCTCCCGCTTTCCATCACCCCGCCCCATTCTCCCGCTTTCCATCACCCCGCCCCATTCTCCCTCCTTCCATCACCCCGCCCCATTCTCCCGCTTTCCATCACCCCGCCCCATTCTCCCTCGTTCCATCACCCCGCCCCATTCTCCCTCGTTCCATCACCCCGCCCCATTCTCCCGCTTTCCATCACCCCGCCCCATTCTCCCGCTTCCCATAACCCCACCCCCTTTTCCCGCTTTCCATCACACCGCCACATTCTCCCGCTTTCTATCACCCCGCCCCATTCTCCCTCCTTCCATCACCCCGCCCCATTCTCCCGCTTTCCAACACCCCGCCCCATTCTCCTGATTTCCATCACCCCACCCCATTCTCCCGCTTTCCATCACCCCGACCCATTCTCCAGCTTTCCATCACCCCGCCCCATTCTCCCGCTTTCCATCATCCCGCCCCATTCTCCCTCCTTCCATCACCCCGCCCCATTCTCCCGCTTTCCATCACTCCGCCCCATTCTCCCTCCTTCCATCACCCCGCCCCATTCTCCCTCCTTCCATCACCCCGCCCCATTCTCCCGCTTTCCATCACCCCGCCCCATTCTCCCGCTTCCCACAACCCCACCCCATTCTCCCGCATTCCATCACCCCGCCACATTCTCCCACTTTCCATCACCCCGCCCCCTTCTCTCTCCTTCCATCACCCCGCCCAATTTTCCCTCCTTCCATCACCCCGCCCCATTCTCCCGCTTTCCATCAGCCCGCCCCATTCTCCCGCTTTCCATCACCCCTCCCCTTTCTCCCGCTTTCCATCTCCCCGCCCCATTCTCCCGCTTCCCATCACTTCGCCCCATTCTCCCGCTTTCCATCACCCCGCCCCATTCTTCCGCTTCCCATCATCCCGCCCCATTCCCCCGCTTTCCATCACCCCTCCCCATTCTCCCTCCTTCCATCACCCCGCCCCATTCTCCCGCTTTCCATCACCCCGCCCCATTCTCCCACTTTCCATCACCCCGCCCCATTCTCCCGCTTTCCATCACCCCGCCCCATTCTTCCTCCTTCCATCACCCCGCCCCATTCTCCCGCTTTCCATCACCCCGCTCCATTCTCCCTCCTTCCATCACCCCGCCCCATTCTTCCTCATTCCATCACCCCGCCCCATTCTCCCACTTTCCATCACCCCGCCCCATTCTCCCGCTTCCCATAACCCCACCCCATTTTCCTGCTTTCCATCACCACGCCACATTTTCCCACTTTCCATCACCCCGCCCCCTTCTCTCTCCTTCCATCACCCCGCCCCATTCTCCCTCCTTCCATCACCCCGCCCCATTCTCCCGCTTTCCATCAGCCCGCCCCATTCTCCCGCTTTCCATCACCCCGCCCCTTTCTCCCGCTTTCCATCACCCCGCCCCATTCTCCCGCTTTCCATCACCCCGCCCCATTGTCCCGCTTTCCATCACTTAGCCCCATTCTCCCGCTTTCCATCATCCCGCCCCATTTTTTCGCTTTCCATCACCCCGCCCCATTCTCCCGCTTTCCATCACCCTGCCCCAATCTCCCGCTTTCCATCACCCCGCCCCATTCTCCCTCCTTCCATCACCCCGCCCCATTCCCCCGCTTTCCATCACCCTGCCCCAATCTCCCGCTTTCCATCACCCCACCCCATTCTCCCTCCTTCCATCACCCCGCCCCATTCTCCCGCTTTCCATCACCCCGCCCCATTCTCCCGCTTTCCATCACCCCGCCCCATTCTCCCGCTTTCCATCACCCCGCCCCATTCTCCCGCTTTCCATCACCCCGCCCCATTCTCCCTCCTTCCATCACCCCGCCCCATTCTCCCGCTTTCCATCACCCCGCCCCATTCTCCCTCCTTCCATCACCCCGCCCCATTCTCCCTCCTTCCATCACCCCGCCCCATTCTCCCGCTCCATCACCCCGCCCTGTTCTCCCGCTTCCCATAACCCCACCCCCTTCTCCCACTTTCCATCACCCCGCCACATTCTCCCGCTTTCTATCACCCCGCCCCATTCTCCCTCCTTCCATCACCCCGCCCCATTCTCCCCCTTTCCATCACCCCGCCCCATTCTCCCGATTTCCATCACCCCGCCCCATTCTCCCGCTTTACATCACCCCGCCCCATTCTCCCGCTTTCCATCACCCCGCCCCATTCTCCCGCTTACCATCATCCCGCCCCATTCTCCCTCCTTCCATCACCCCGCCCCATTCTCCCGCTTTCCATCACTCCGCCCCATTCTCCCTCCTTCCATCACCCCGCCCCATTCTCCCTCCTTCCATCACCCCGCCCCATTCTCCCGCTTTCCATCACCCCGCCCCATTCTCCCACTTCCCATAACCCCACCCCATTCTCCCGCTTTCCATCACCCCGCCACATTCTCCCACTTTCCATCACCCCGCCCCCTTCTCTCTCCTTCCATCACCCCGCCCCATTCTCCCTCCTTCCATCACCCCGCCCCATTCTCGCGCTTTCCATCACCCCGCCCCATTCTCGCGCTTTCCATCACCCCGCCCCATTCTCCCGCTTCCCATCACCCCACCCCATTCTCCCGCTTTCCATCACCCCGCCACATTCTCCCACTTTCCATCACCCCGCCCCCTTCTCTCTCCTTCCATCACCCCGCCCCATTCTCCCTCCTTCCATCACCCCGCCCCATTCTCGCGCTTTCCATCACCCCGCCCCATTCTCCCGCTTTCCATCTCCCCGCCCCATTCTCCCGCTTTCCATCACCCCGCCCCATTCTCCCGCTTTCCATCACCCCGCCCCATTCTCCCGCTTACCATCATCCCGCCCCATTCTCCCTCCTTCCATCACCCCGCCCCATTCTCCCGCTTTCCATCACTCCGCCCCATTCTCCCTCCTTCCATCACCCCACCCCATTCTCCCGCTTTCCATCACCCCGCCACATTCTCCCACTTTCCATCACCCCGCCCCATTCTCCCTCCTTCCATCACCCCGCCCCATTCTCCCGCTTTCCATCAGCCCGCCCCATTCTCCCGCTTTCCATCACCCCTCCCCTTTCTCCCGCTTTCCATCTCCCCGCCCCATTCTCCCGCTTTCCATCACCCCGCCCCATTCTCCCGCTTTCCATCACCCTGCCCCATTCTTCCGCTTCCCATCATCCCACCCCATTCCCCCGCTTTCCATCACCCCTCCCCTTTCTTCCTCCTTCCATCACCCAGCCCCATTCTCTCGCTTTCCATCACCCCGCCCCATTCTCCCGCTTTCCATCACCCCGCCCCATTCTCCCGCTTTCCATCACCCCGCCCCATTCTTCCTCCTTCCATCACCCCGCCCCATTCTCCCGCTTTCCATCACCCCGCCCCATTCTCCCTCCTTCCATCACCCCGCCCCATTCTCCCTCATTCCATCACCCCGCTCCATTCTCCCGCTTTCCATCACCCCGCCCTATTCTCCCGCTTCCCATAACCCCACCCCATTCTCCCGCTTTCCATCACCCCGCCACATTTTCCCACTTTCCATCACCCCGCCCCCTTCTTTCTCCTTCCATCACCCCGCCCCATTCTCCCTCCTTCCATCACCCCGCCCCATTCTCCCGCTTTCCATCAGCCCGCCCCATTCTCCCGCTGTCCATCACCCCGCCCCTTTCTCCCGCTTTCCATCACCCCGCCCCATTCTCCCGCTTTCCATCACCCCGCCCCATTCTCCCGCTTTCCATCACCCCTCCCCATTCTCCCGCTTTCCATCACTCCGCCCCATTCTCCCGCTTTCCATCACCCCGACCCATTCTCCCACTTTCCATCACCGCGCCTCATTCTCCCTCCTTCCATCACCCCGCCCCATTCTCCCGCTTTCCATCACCCCGCCCCATTTTTCCTCTTTCCATCACCCCGCCCCATTCTCCCGCTTTCCATCACCCTGCCCCAATCTCCCGCTTTCCATCACCCCACCCCATTCTCCCTCCTTCCATTACCCCGCCCCATTCTCCCGCTTTCCATCACCCCGCTATTCTCCCGCTTTCCATCACCCAGCCCCATTCTCCCGCTTTCCATCACCCCGCCCCATTCTCCCGCTTTCCATCACCCCGCCCCATTCTCCCGCTTTCCATCACCCCGCCCCATTCTCCCTCCTTCCATCACCCCGCCCCATTCTCCCGCTTTCCATCACCCCGCCCCACTCTCCCGCTTCCCATAACCCCACCCCATTCTCCCGCTTTCCATCACCCCACCACATTTTCCCGTTTTCTATCACCCTGCCCCATTCTCCCTCCTTCCATCACCCCGCCCCATTCTCCCGCTTTCCATCACCCCGCCCCATTCTCCCGCTTTCCATCACCCCGCCCCATTCTCCCGCTTTCCATCACCCCGCCCCATTCTCCCGCTTTCCATCACCCCGCCCCATTCTCCCGCTTTCCATCACCCCGCCCCATTCTCCCTCCTTCCATCACCCCGCCCCATTCTCCCGCTTTCCATCACCCCGCCCCACTCTCCCGCTTCCCATAACCCCACCCCATTCTCCCGCTTTCCATCACCCCACCACATTTTCCCGTTTTCTATCACCCTGCCCCATTCTCCCTCCTTCCATCACCCCGCCCCATTCTCCCGCTTTCCATCACCCCGCCCCATTCTCCCGATTTCCGTCACCTCGCCCCATTCTCCCGCTTTCCATCACCCCGCCCCATTCTCCCGCTTTCCATCACCCCGCCCCATTCTCCCTCCTTCCATCACCCCGCCCCATTCTCCCGCTTTCCATCACCCCGCCCCACTCTCCCGCTTCCCATAACCCCACCCCATTCTCCCGCTTTCCATCACCCCACCACATTTTCCCGTTTTCTATCACCCTGCCCCATTCTCCCTCCTTCCATCACCCCGCCCCATTCTCCCGCTTTCCATCACCCCGCCCCATTCTCCCGATTTCCGTCACCTCGCCCCATTCTCCCGCTTTCCATCACCCCGCCCCATCTCCCGCTTTCCATCACCCCGCCCCATTCTCCCGCATTCCATCATCCCGCCCCATTCTCCCTCCTTCCATCACCCCGCCCCATTCTCCCACTTTCCATCACCCCGCCCCCTTCTCTCTCCTTCCATCACCCCGCCCCATTCTCCCTCCTTCCATCACCCCGCCCCATTCTCGCGCTTTCCATCACCCCGCCCCATTCTCCCGCTTCCCATAACCCCACCCCATTCTCCCGCTTTCCATCACTCCGCCCCATTCTCCCTCCTTCCATCACCCCGCCCCATTCTCCCTCCTTCCATCACCCCGCCCCATTCTCCCGCTTTCCATCACCCCGCCCCATTCTCCCGCTTCCCATAACCCCACCCCATTCTCCCGCTTTCCATCACCCCGCCACATTCTCCCACTTTCCATCACCCCGCCCCCTTCTCTCTCCTTCCATCACCCCGCCCCATTCTCCCTCCTTCCATCACCCCGCCCCATTCTCGCGCTTTCCATCACCCCGCCCCATTCTCCCGCTTTCCATCTCCCCGCCCCATTCTCCCGCTTTCCATCACCCCGCCCCATTCTCCCGCTTTCCATCACCCCGCCCCATTCTCCCGCTTACCATCATCCCGCCCCATTCTCCCTCCTTCCATCACCCCGCCCCATTCTCCCGCTTTCCATCACTCCGCCCCATTCTCCCTCCTTCCATCACCCCACCCCATTCTCCCGCTTTCCATCACCCCGCCACATTCTCCCACTTTCCATCACCCCGCCCCATTCTCCCTCCTTCCATCACCCCGCCCCATTCTCCCGCTTTCCATCAGCCCGCCCCATTCTCCCGCTTTCCATCACCCCTCCCCTTTCTCCCGCTTTCCATCTCCCCGCCCCATTCTCCCGCTTTCCATCACCCCGCCCCATTCTCCCGCTTTCCATCACCCTGCCCCATTCTTCCGCTTCCCATCATCCCACCCCATTCCCCCGCTTTCCATCACCCCTCCCCTTTCTTCCTCCTTCCATCACCCAGCCCCATTCTCTCGCTTTCCATCACCCCGCCCCATTCTCCCGCTTTCCATCACCCCGCCCCATTCTCCCGCTTTCCATCACCCCGCCCCATTCTTCCTCCTTCCATCACCCCGCCCCATTCTCCCGCTTTCCATCACCCCGCCCCATTCTCCCTCCTTCCATCACCCCGCCCCATTCTCCCGCTTTCCATCACCCCGCCCCACTCTCCCGCTTCCCATAACCCCACCCCATTCTCCCGCTTTCCATCACCCCACCACATTTTCCCGTTTTCTATCACCCTGCCCCATTCTCCCTCCTTCCATCACCCCGCCCCATTCTCCCGCTTTCCATCACCCCGCCCCATTCTCCCGATTTCCGTCACCTCGCCCCATTCTCCCGCTTTCCATCACCCCGCCCCATCTCCCGCTTTCCATCACCCCGCCCCATTCTCCCGCATTCCATCATCCCGCCCCATTCTCCCTCCTTCCATCACCCCGCCCCATTCTCCCGCTTTCCATCACTCCGCCCCATTCTCCCTCCTTCCATCACCCCGCCCCATTCTCCCTCCTTCCATCACCCCGCCCCATTCTCCCGCTTTCCATCACCCCGCCCCATTCTCCCGCTTCCCATAACCCCACCCCATTCTCCCGCTTTCCATCACCCCGCCACATTCTCCCACTTTCCATCACCCCGCCCCCTTCTCTCTCCTTCCATCACCCCGCCCCATTCTCCCTCCTTCCATCACCCCGCCCCATTCTCCCGCTTTTCATCAGCCCGCCCCATTCTCCCGCTCTCCATCACCCCTCCCCTTTCTCCCGCTTTCCATCTCCCCGCCCCATTCTCCCGCTTTCCATCACCCCGCCCCATTCTCCCGCTTTCCATCACCCCGCCCCATTCTTCCGCTTCCCATCATCCCGCCCCATTCCCCCGCTTTCCATCACCCCTCCCCATTCTCCCTCCTTCCATCACCCCGCCCCATTCTATCGCTTTCCATCACCCCGCCCCGTTCTCCCGCTTTCCATCACCCCGCCCTATTCTCCCGCTTTCCATCACCCCGCCCCATTCTCCCTCCTTCCATCACCCCGCCCCATTCTCCCGCTTTCCATCACCCTGCCCCATTCTCCCTCCTTCCATCACCCCGCCCCATTCTCCCGCTTTCCATCACCCCGCCCCATTCTCCCGATTTCCGTCACCCCGCCCCATTCTCCCGCTTTCCATCACCCCGCCCCATCTCCCGCTTTCCATCACCCCGCCCCATTCTCCCGCATTCCATCATCCCGCCCCATTCTCCCTCCTTCCATCACCCCGCCCCATTCTCCCGCTTTCCATCACTCCGCCCCATTCTCCCTCCTTCCATCACCCCGCCCCATTCTCCCTTCTTCCATCACCCCACCCCATTCTCCCGCTTTCCATCACCCCGCCCCATTCTCCCGCTTCCCATAACCCCACCCCATTCTCCTGCTTTCCATCACCCCGCCACATTCTCCCACTTTCCATCACCCCGCCCCCTTCTCTCTCCTTCCATCACCCCGCCCCATTCTCCCTCCTTCCATCACCCCGCCCCATTCTCGCGCTTTCCATCACCCCGCCCCATTCTCGCGCTTTCCATCACCCCGCCCCATTCTCCCGCTTCCCATCACCCCACCCCATTCTCCCGCTTTCCATCACCCCGCCACATTCTCCCACTTTCCATCACCCCGCCCCCTTCTCTCTCCTTCCATCACCCCGCCCCATTCTCCCTCCTTCCATCACCCCGCCCCATTCTCGCGCTTTCCATCACCCCGCCCCATTCTCCCGCTTTCCATCTCCCCGCCCCATTCTCCCGCTTTCCATCACCCCGCCCCATTCTCCCGCTTTCCATCACCCCGCCCCATTCTTCCGCTTCCCATCATCCCGCCCCATTCCCCCGCTTTCCATCACCCCTCCCCATTCTCCCTCCTTCCATCACCCCGCCCCATTCTCTCGCTTTCCATCACCCCGCCCCGTTCTCCCGCTTTCCATCACCCCGCCCCATTTTCCCGCTTTCCATCACCCCGCCCCATTCTCCCTCCTTCCATCACCCCGCCCCATTCTCGCGCTTTCTATCACCCAGCCCCATTCTCCCTCCTTCCATCACCCTGCCCCATTCTCCCTCATTCCATCACCCCGGTCCATTCTCCCGCTTTCCATCACTCCGCCCCATTCTCCCGCTTCCCCTAACCCCACCCCATTCTCCCGCTTTCCATCACCCCGCCACATTTTCCCACTTTCCATCATCCCGCCCCCTTCTCTCTCCTTCCATCACCCTGCCCCATTCTCCCTCCTTCCATCACCCCGCCCCATTCTTCCGCTTTCCATCACCCGCCCCATTCTCCCGCTTTCCATCACCTCGCCCCATTCTCCCGCTTTCCATCACCCCGCCCCATTCTTTTGCTTTCCATCACCCCGCCCCATTCTCCCGCTTTCCATCACCCTGCCCTATTCACCAGCTTTCCATCACACGCCCCATTCTCCCGTTTTCCATCACCCCGCCCCATTCTCCCGCTTTCCATCACCCCGCTCCATTCTCCCGCTTTCCATCACCCCGCCCCATTCTCCCGCTTTCCATCACCCCGCCCCATTCTCCCGCTTTCCATCACCCCGACCCATTCTCCCACTTTCCATCACCCCGCCCCATTCTCCCTCCTTCCATCACCCTGCGTCATTCTCCCTCCTTCCATCACCCCGCCCCATTCTCCCGCTTTCCATCACCCCGCCCCATTCTCCCGCTTTCCATCACCCAGCCCCATTCTCCGGCTTTCCATCACCCCGCCCCATTCTCCCGCTTTCCATCACCCTGCCCCAATCTCCCGTTTTCCATCACCGCGCCCCATTCTCCCTCCTTCCATCACCCCGCCCCATTCTCCCGCTTTCCATCACCCCGCCCCATTCTCCTGCTTTCCATCACCCAGCCCCATTCTCCCGCTTTCCATCACCCCGCCTCATTCTCCCGCTTTCCATCACCCCACCCCATTCACCCTCCTTCCATCTCCCCGCCCCATTCTCCCTCCTTCCATCACCCCGCCCCATTCTCCCGCTTTCCATCACCCCGCCCCATTCTCCCTCCTTCCATCACCCCGCCCCATTCTCCCTCCTTCCATCACCCCGCCCCATTCTCCCGCTTTCCATCACCCCGCCCCATTCTCCCGCTTCCCATAACCCCACCCCATTCTCCCGCTTTCCATCACCCCGCCACATTCTCCCGCTTTCTATCACCCCGCCCCATTCTCCCTCCTTCCATCACCCCGCCCCATTCTCTCGCTTTCCATCACCCCGCCCCGTTCTCCCGCTTTCCATCACCCCGCCCCATTCTCCCGCTTTCCATCACCCCGCCCCATTCTCCCTCCTTCCATCACCCCGCCCCATTCTCGCGCTTTCTATCACCCAGCCCCATTCTCCCTCCTTCCATCACCCTGCCCCATTCTCCCTCATTCCATCACCCCGGTCCATTCTCCCGCTTTCCATCACTCCGCCCCATTCTCCCGCTTCCCATAACCCCACCCCATTCTCCCGCTTTCCATCACCCCGCCACATTTTCCCACTTTCCATCATCCCGCCCCCTTCTCTCTCCTTCCATCACCCTGCCCCATTCTCCCTCCTTCCATCACCCCGCCCCATTCTTCCGCTTTCCATCACCCGCCCCATTCTCCCGCTTTCCATCACCTCGCCCCATTCTCCCGCTTTCCATCACCCCGCCCCATTCTTTTGCTTTCCATCACCCCGCCCCATTCTCCCGCTTTCCATCACCCTGCCCTATTCACCAGCTTTCCATCACACGCCCCATTCTCCCGTTTTCCATCACCCCGCCCCATTCTCCCGCTTTCCATCACCCCGCTCCATTCTCCCGCTTTCCATCACCCCGCCCCATTCTCCCGCTTTCCATCACCCCGCCCCATTCTCCCGCTTTCCATCACCCCGACCCATTCTCCCACTTTCCATCACCCCGCCCCATTCTCCCTCCTTCCATCACCCTGCGTCATTCTCCCTCCTTCCATCACCCCGCCCCATTCTCCCGCTTTCCATCACCCCGCCCCATTCTCCCGCTTTCCATCACCCAGCCCCATTCTCCGGCTTTCCATCACCCCGCCCCATTCTCCCGCTTTCCATCACCCTGCCCCAATCTCCCGTTTTCCATCACCGCGCCCCATTCTCCCTCCTTCCATCACCCCGCCCCATTCTCCCGCTTTCCATCACCCCGCCCCATTCTCCTGCTTTCCATCACCCAGCCCCATTCTCCCGCTTTCCATCACCCCGCCTCATTCTCCCGCTTTCCATCACCCCACCCCATTCTCCCTCCTTCCATCTCCCCGCCCCATTCTCCCTCCTTCCATCACCCCGCCCCATTCTCCCGCTTTCCATCACCCCGCCCCATTCTCCCTCCTTCCATCACCCCGCCCCATTCTCCCTCCTTCCATCACCCCGCCCCATTCTCCCGCTTTCCATCACCCCGCCCCATTCTCCCGCTTCCCATAACCCCACCCCATTCTCCCGCTTTCCATCACCCCGCCACATTCTCCCGCTTTCTATCACCCCGCCCCATTCTCCCTCCTTCCATCACCCCGCCCCATTCTCCCGCTTTCCATCACCCCACCCCATTCTCCCGATTTCCATCACCCCGCCCCATTCTCCCGCTTTCCATCACCCCGCCCCATTCTCCCGCTTTCCATCATCCCGCCCCATTCTCCCTCCTTCCATCACCCCGCCCCATTCTTCCGCTTCCCATCATCCCGCCCCATTCCCCCGCTTTCCATCACCCCTCCCCATTCTCCCTCCTTCCATCACCCCGCCCCATTCTCTCGCTTTCCATCACCTCGCCCCATTCTCCCGCTTTCCATCACCCCGCCCCATTCTCCCGCTTTCCATCACTCTGCCCCATTATCCCTCCTTCCATCACCCCGCCCCATTCTCCCTCCTTCCATCACCCCGCCCCATTCTCCCTCCTTCCATCACCCCGCCCCATTCTCCCGCTTTCCATCACCCCGCCTCATTCTCCCGCTTCCCATAACCCCACCCCATTCTCCCGCATTCCATCACCCCGCCCCATTCTCCCGCTTTCCATCACCCCGCCCCATTCTCCCGCTTCCCATAACCCCACCCCATTCTCCCGCTTTCCATCACCCCGCCACATTCTCCCGCTTTCTATCACCCCGCCCCATTCTCCCTCCTTCCATCACCCCGCCCCATTCTCCCGCTTTCCATCACCCCACCCCATTCTCCCGATTTCCATCACCCCGCCCCATTCTCCCGCTTTCCATCACCCCGCCCCATTCTCCCGCTTTCCATCATCCCGCCCCATTCTCCCTCCTTCCATCACCCCGCCCCATTCTTCCGCTTCCCATCATCCCGCCCCATTCCCCCGCTTTCCATCACCCCTCCCCATTCTCCCTCCTTCCATCACCCCGCCCCATTCTCTCGCTTTCCATCACCTCGCCCCATTCTCCCGCTTTCCATCACCCCGCCCCATTCTCCCGCTTTCCATCACTCTGCCCCATTATCCCTCCTTCCATCACCCCGCCCCATTCTCCCTCCTTCCATCACCCCGCCCCATTCTCCCTCCTTCCATCACCCCGCCCCATTCTCCCGCTTTCCATCACCCCGCCTCATTCTCCCGCTTCCCATAACCCCACCCCATTCTCCCGCTTTCCATCACCCCGCCACATTCTCCCACTTTCCATCACCCCGCCCCCTTCTCTCTCCTTCCATCACCCCGCCCCATTCTCCCTCCTTCCATCACCCCGCCCCATTCTCCCGCTTTCCATCAGCCCGCCCCATTCTTCCGCTTTCCATCACCCCGCCCCATTCTCCCGCTTTCCATCACCCCTCCCCTTTCTCCCGCTTTCCATCTCCCCGCCCCATTCTCCCGCTTTCCATCACCCCGCCCCATTCTCCCGCTTTCCATCACCCCGCCCCATTCTTCCGCTTCCCATCATCCCGCCCCATTCCCCCGCTTTCCATCACCCCTCCCCATTCTCCCTCCTTCCATCACCCCGCCCCATTCTCTCGCTTTCCATCACCCCGCCCCGTTCTCCCGCTTTCCATCAACCCGCCCCATTCTCCTGCTTTCCATCACCCCGCCCCATTCTCCCTCCTTCCATCACCCTGCCCAATTCTCCCGCTTTCTATCACCCAGCCCCATTCTCCCTCCTTCCATCACCCTGCCCCATTCTCCCTCATTCCATCACCCCGGTCCATTCTCCCGCTTTCCATCACTCCGCCCCATTCTCGCGCTTCCCATAACCCCACCCCATTCTCCCGCTTTCCATCACCCCGCCCCATTCTCCCGCTTTCCATCACCCCGCCCCATTCTCCCTCCTTCCATCACCCCGCCCCATTCTCCCGCTTTCTATCACCCAGCCCCATTCTCCCTCCTTCCATCACCCTGCCCCATTCTCCCTCATTCCATCACCCCGGTCCATTCTCCCGCTTTCCATCATCCCGCCCCATTCTCCCGCTTTCCATCACCCCGCCCCATTCTCCCGCTTCCCATAACCCCACCCCATTCTCCCGCTTTCCATCACCCCGACACATTCTCCCGCTTTCTATCACCCCGCCCCATTCTCCCTCCTTCCATCACCCCGCCCCATTCTCCCGCTCTCCATCACCCCACCCCATTCTCCCGATTTCCATCACCCCGCCCCATTCTCCCGCTTTCCATCACCCCGCCCCATTCTCCCGCTTTCCATCATCCCGCCCCATTCTCCCTCCTTCCATCACCCCGCCCCATTCTTCCGCTTCCCATCATCCCGCCCCATTCCCCCGCTTTCCATCACCCCGCCCCATTCTCTCGCTTTCCATCACCTCGCCCCATTCTCCCGCTTTCCATCACCCCGCCCCATTCTCCCGCTTTCCATCACTCTGCCCCATTATCCCTCCTTCCATCACCCCGCCCCATTCTCCCTCCTTCCATCACCCCGCCCCATTCTCCCGCTTTCCATCAGCCCGCCCCATTCTTCCGCTTTCCATCACCCCGCCCCATTCTCCCGCTTTCCATCACCCCTCCCCTTTCTCTTGCTTTCCATCTCCCCGCCCCATTCTCCCGCTTTCCATCACCCCGCCCCATTCTCCCGCTTTCCATCACCCCGCCCCATTCTTCCGCTTCCCATCATCTCGCCCCATTCCCCCGCTTTCCATCACCCCTCCCCATTCTCCCTCCTTCCATCACCCCGCCCCATTCTCTCGCTTTCCATCACCCCGCCCCATTCTCCCGCTTTCCATCACGCCGCCCCATTCTCCCGCTTTCCATCACCCCGCCCCATTCTCCCTCCTTCCATCACCCCGCCCCATTCTCCCGCTTTCCATCACCCCGCCCCATTCTCCCTCCTTCCATCACCCCGCCCCATTCTCCCTCATTCCATCACTCCGCCCCATTCTCCCGCTTTCCATCACCCCGCCCCATTCTCCCGCTTCCCATAACCCCACCCCATTCTCCCGATTTCCATCACCCCGCCCCATTCTCCCGCTTTCCATCACCCCGCCCCATTCTCCCGCTTTCCATCATCCCGCCCCATTCTCCCTCCTTCCATCACCCCGCCCCATTCTTCCGCTTTCCATCATCCCGCCCCATTCCCCCGCTTTCCATCACCCCTCCCCATTCTCCCTCCTTCCATCACCCCGCCCCATTCTCTCGCTTTCCATCACCTCGCCCCATTCTCCCGCTTTCCATCACCCCGCCCCATTCTCCCACTTTCAATCACCCCGCCCCCTTCTCTCTCCTTCCATCACCCCGCCCCATTCTCCCTCCTTCCATCACCCCGCCCCATTCTCCCGCTTTCCATCAGCCCGCCCCATTCTTCCGCTTTCCATCACCCCGCCCCATTCTCCCGCTTTCCATCACCCCTCCCCTTTCTCCCGCTTTCCATCTCCCCGCCCCATTCTCCCGCTTTCCATCACCCCGCCCCATTCTCCCGCTTTCCATCACCCCGCCCCATTCTTCCGCTTCCCATCATCTCGCCCCATTCCCCCGCTTTCCATCACCCCTCCCCATTCTCCCTCCTTCCATCACCCCGCCCCATTCTCTCGCTTTCCATCACCCCGCCCCATTCTCCCGCTTTCCATCACGCCGCCCCATTCTCCCGCTTTCCATCACCCCGCCCCATTCTCCCTCCTTCCATCACCCCGCCCCATTCTCCCGCTTTCAATCACCCCGCCCCATTCTCCCTCCTTCCATCACCCTGCCCCATTCTCCCTCATTCCATCACTCCGCCCCATTCTCCCGCTTTCCATCACCCCGCCCCATTCTCCCGCTTCCCATAACCCCACCCCATTCTCCCGCTTTCCATCACCCCGCCCCATTCTCCCGCTTCCCATAACCCCACCCCATTCTCCCACTATCCATCACCTCGCCCCCTTCTCTCTCCTTCCATCACCCCGCCCCATTCTCCCTCCTTCCATCACCCCGCCCCATTCTCCCGCTTTCCATCAGCCCGCCCCATTCTCCCGCTTTCCATCACCCCGCCCGTTTCTCCCGCTTTCCATCTCCCCGCCCCATTCTCCCGCTTTCCATAACCCCGCCCCATTCTCCCGCTTTCCATCACCCCGCCCCATTCTTCTGCTTCCCATCATCCCGCCCCATTCCACCGCTTTCCATCACCCCTCCCCATTCTCCCTCCTTCCATCACCCCGCCCCATTCTTCCGCTTTCCATCACCCGCCCCATTCTCCCGCTTTCCATCACCTCGCCCCATTCTCCCGCTTTCCATCACCCCGCCCCACTCTTTTGCTTTCCATCACCCCGCCCCATTCTCCCGCTTTCCATCACCCTGCCCCATTCACCCGCTTTCCATCACCCGCCCCATTCTCCCGCTTTCCATCACCCCGCCCCATTCTCCCGCTTTCCATCACCCCGCTCCATTCTCCCGCCTTCCATCATCCCGCCCCATTCTCCCGCTTTCCATCACCCCGCCCCATTCTCCCGCTTTCCATCACTCCGCCCCATTCTCCCGCTTTCCATCACCCCGACCCATTCTCCCACTTTCCATCACCCCGCCCCATTCTCCCTCCTTCCATCACCCCGCCTCATTCTCCCTCCTTCCATCTCCCCGCCCCATTCTCCCGCTTTCCATCACCCCGCCCCATTCTCCCGCTTTCCATCACCCAGCCCCATTCTCCCGCTTTCCATCACCCCGCCCCATTTTCCCGCTTTCCATCACCCCGCCCCATTCTCCCGCTTTCCATCACCCTGCCCCAATCTCCCGCTTTCCATCACCCCGCCCCATTCTCCCTCCTTCCATCACCCCGCCCCATTCTCCCGCTTTCCATCACCCCGCCCCATTCTCCCGCTTTCCATCACCCAGCCCCATTCTCCCGCTTTCCATCACCCCGCCCCATTCTCCCGCTTTCCATCACCCCACCCCATTCTCCCTCCTTCCATCACCCCGCCCCATTCTCCCTCCTTCCATCACCCCGCCCCATTCTCCCGCTTTCCATCACCCCGCCCCATTCTCCCTCCTTCCATCACCCCGCCCCATTCTCCCTCCTTCCATCACCCCGCCCCATTCTCCCTCCTTCCATCACCCCGCCCCATTCTCCCGCTTTCCATCACCCCGCCCCATTTTCCCGCTTCCCATAACCCCACCCCATTCTCCCGCTTTCCATCACCCCGTCAAATTCTCCCGCTTTCTATCACCCCGCCCCATTCTCCCGCTTTCAATCACCCCGCCCCATTCTCCCGATTTCAATCACCCCGCCCCATTCTCCCGATTTCCATCACCCCGCCCCATTCTCCCGCTTTCAATCACCCCGCCCCATTCTCCCGATTTCCATCACCCCGCCCCATTCTCTCGCTTTCCATCACCCCGCCCCATTCTCCCGCTTTCCATCACCCCGCCCCATTCTCCCGCTTTCCATCATCCCGCCCCATTCTCCCTCCTTCCATCACCCCGCCCTATTCTTCCGCTTCCCATCATCTCGCCCCATTCCCCTGCTTTCCATCACCCCTCCCCATTCTCCCTCCTTCCATCACCCCGCCCCATTCTTCCGCTTTCCATCACCCGCCCCATTCTCCCGCTTTCCATCACCTCGCCCCATTCTCCCGCTTTCCATCACCCCGCCCCATTCTTTTGCTTTCCATCACCCCGCCCCTTTCTCCCGCTTTCCATCACCCTGCCCCATTCACCCGCTTTCCATCACCCGCCCCATTCTCCCGCTTTCCATCACCCCGCCCCATTCTCCCGCTTTCCATCACCCCGCTCCATTCTCCCGCCTTCCATCACCCCGCCCCATTCTCCCGCTTTCCATCACCCCGCCCCATTCTCCCGCTTTTCATCACTCCGCCCCATTCTCCCGCATTCCATCACCCCGACCCATTCTCCCACTTTCCATCACCCCGCCTCATTCTCCCTCCTTCCATCACCCCGCCCCATTCTTCCGCTTTCCATCACCCGCCCCATTCTCCCGCTTTCCATCACCTCGCCCCTTTCTCCCGCTTTCCATCACCCCGCCCCATGCTTTTGCTTTCCATCACCCCGCCCCATTCTTTTGCTTTCCATCACCCCGCCCCATTCTCCCGCTTTCCATCACCCTGCCCCATTCACCCGCTTTCCATCACCCACCCCATTCTCCCGCTTTCCATCACCCCGCCCCATTCTCCCGCTTTCCATCACCCCGCTCCATTCTCCCGCCTTCCATCACCCCGCCCCATTCTCCCGCTTTCCATCACCCCGCCCCATTCACCCGCTTTCCATCACTCCGCCCCATTCTCCCGCTTTCCATCACCCCGACCCATTCTCCCACTTTCCATCACCCCGCCCCATTCTCCCTCCTTCCATCACCCCGCCTCATTCTCCCTCCTTCCATCACCCCGCCCCATTCTCCCGCTTTCCATCACCCCGCCCCATTCTCCCGCTTTCCATCACCCAGCCCCATTCTCCCGCTTTCCATCACCCCGCCCCATTTTCCCGCTTTCCATCACCCCGCCCCATTCTCCTGCTTTCCATCACCCTGCCCCAATCTCCCGCTTTCCATCACCCCGCCCCATTCTCCCTCCTTCCATCACCCCGCCCCATTCTCCCGCTTTCCATCACCCCGCCCCATTCTCCCTCCTTCCATCACCCCGCCTCATTCTCCCTCCTTCCATCACCCCGCCCCATTCTCCCGCTTTCCATCACCCCGCCCCATTCTCCCGCTTTCCATCACCCAGCCCCATTCTCCCGCTTTCCATCACCCCGCCCCATTTTCCCGCTTTCCATCACCCCGCCCCATTCTCCCGCTTTCCATCACCCTGCCCCAATCTCCCGCTTTCCATCACCCCGCCCCATTCTCCCTCCTTCCATCACCCCGCCCCATTCTCCCGCTTTCCATCACCCCGCCCCATTCTCCCGCTTTCCATCACCCAGCCCCATTCTCCCGCTTTCCATCACCCCGCCCCATTCTCCCGCTTTCCATCACCCCACCCCATTCTCCCTCCTTCCATCACCCCGCCCCATTCTCCCTCCTTCCATCACCCCGCCCCATTCTCCCGCTTTCCATCACCCCGCCCCATTCTCCCTCCTTCCATCACCCCGCCCCATTCTCCCTCCTTCCATCACCCCGCCCCATTCTCCCTCCTTCCATCACCCCGCCCCATTCTCCCGCTTTCCATCACCCCGCCCCATTTTCCCGCTTCCCATAACCCCACCCCATTCTCCCGCTTTCCATCACCCCGTCAAATTCTCCCGCTTTCTATCACCCCGCCCCATTCTCCCGCTTTCAATCACCCCGCCCCATTCTCCCGATTTCAATCACCCCGCCCCATTCTCCCGATTTCCATCACCCCGCCCCATTCTCCCGCTTTCAATCACCCCGCCCCATTCTCCCGATTTCCATCACCCCGCCCCATTCTCTCGCTTTCCATCACCCCGCCCCATTCTCCCGCTTTCCATCACCCCGCCCCATTCTCCCGCTTTCCATCATCCCGCCCCATTCTCCCTCCTTCCATCACCCCGCCCTATTCTTCCGCTTCCCATCATCCCGCCCCATTCCCCTGCTTTCCATCACCCCTCCCCATTCTCCCTCCTTCCATCACCCCGCCCCATTCTTCCGCTTTCCATCACCCGCCCCATTCTCCCGCTTTCCATCACCTCGCCCCATTCTCCCGCTTTCCATCACCCCGCCCCATTCTTTTGCTTTCCATCACCCCGCCCCTTTCTCCCGCTTTCCATCACCCTGCCCCATTCACCCGCTTTCCATCACCCGCCCCATTCTCCCGCTTTCCATCACCCCGCCCCATTCTCCCGCTTTCCATCACCCCGTTCCATTCTCCCGCCTTCCATCACCCCGCCCCATTCTCCCGCTTTCCATCACCCCGCCCCATTCTCCCGCTTTTCATCACTCCGCCCCATTCTCCCGCTTTCCATCACCCCGACCCATTCTCCCACTTTCCATCACCCCGCCTCATTCTCCCTCCTTCCATCACCCCGCCCCATTCTTCCGCTTTCCATCACCCGCCCCATTCTCCCGCTTTCCATCACCTCGCCCCTTTCTCCCGCTTTCCATCACCCCGCCCCATGCTTTTGCTTTCCATCACCCCGCCCCATTCTCCCACTTTCCATCACCCTGCCCCATTCACCGTCTTTCCATCACCCACCCCATTCTCCCGCTTTCCATCACCCCGCCCCATTCTCCCGCTTTCCATCACCCCGCTCCATTCTCCCGCCTTCCATCACCCCGCCCCATTCTCCCGCTTTCCATCACCCCGCCCCATTCACCCGCTTTCCATCACTCCGCCCCATTCTCCCGCTTTCCATCACCCCGACCCATTCTCCCACTTTCCATCACCCCGCCCCATTCTCCCTCCTTCCATCACCCCGCCTCATTCTCCCTCCTTCCATCACCCCGCCCCATTCTCCCGCTTTCCATCACCCCGCCCCATTCTCCCGCTTTCCATCACCCAGCCCCATTCTCCCGCTTTCCATCACCCCGCCCCATTTTCCCGCTTTCCATCACCCCGCCCCATTCTCCCGCTTTCCATCACCCTGCCCCAAACTCCCGCTTTCCATCACCCCGCCCCATTCTCCCTCCTTCCATCACCCCGCCCCATTCTCCCGCTTTCCATCACCCCGCCCCATTCTCCCGCTTTCCATCACCCAGCCCCATTCTCCCGCTTTCCATCACCCCGCCCCATTCTCCCGCTTTCCATCACCACACCCCATTCTCCCTCCTTCCATCACCCCGCCCCATTCTCCCTCCTTCCATCACCCCGCCCCATTCTCCCGCTTTCCATCACCCTGCCCCATTCTCCCTCCTTCCATCACCCCGCCCCATTCTCCCTCCTTCCATCACCCCGCCCCATTCTCCCTCCTTCCATCACCCCGCCCCACTCTCCCGCTTTCCATCACCCCGCCCCATTTTCCCCCTTCCCATAACCCCATCCCATTCTCCCGCTTTCCATCACCCCGCCAAATTCTCCCTATTTCTATCACCCCGCCCCATTCTCCCTCCTTCCATCACCCCGCCCCATTCTCCCGCTTTCAATCACCCCGCCCCATTCTCCCGCTTTCAATCACCCCGCCCCATTCTCCCGATTTCCATCAACCCGCCCCATTCTCTCGCCTTCCATCACCCCGCCCCATTCTCCCGCTTTCCATCACCCCGCCCCATTCTCCCGCTTTCCATCATCCCGCCCCATTCTCCCTCCTACCATCACCCCGCCCTATTCTTCCGCTTCCCATCATCCCGCCCCATTCCCCCGCTTTCCATCACCCCTCCCCATTCTCCCTCCTTCCATCACCCCGCCCCATTCTCTCGCTTTCCATCACCCCGCCCCATTCTCCCGCTGTCCATCACCCCGCCCCATTCTCCCGCTTTCCATCAATCCGCCCCATTATCCCTTCTTCCATCACCCCGCCCCATTCTCCCTCCTTCCATCACCCCGCCCCATTCTCCCGCTTTCCATCACCCCGCCTCATTCTCCCGCTTCCCATAACCCCACCCCATTCTCCCGCTTTCCATCACCCCGCCACATTCTCCCACTTTCCATCAGCCCGCCCCCTTCTCTCTCCTTCCATTACCCCACCCCATTCTCCCGCTTTCCACCTCCCCGCCCCATTCTCCCGCTTTCCATCACTCCGCCCCATTCTCCCGCTTTCCATCACCCCGCCCCATTCTCCCGCTTTCCATCACCCCGCCCCATTCTCCCGTTTTCCATCACCCCGCCAGATTCTCCTGCTTTCCATCACCCCGCCCCATTCTCCCACTTTCCACCTCCCCGCCCCATTCTCCCGCTTTCCATCACCCCGCCCCATTCTCCCGCTTTCCATCACCCCACCCCATCCTCCCACCTTCCATCACCCCGCCCCATTCTCCCTTCTTCCATCACCCCAAACCATTCTCCCGCTTTCCATCACCCCACCCGATTCTCCCGCTTTCCATCACCCCGCCCCATTCTCTTCCTTTCCATCACCCCGCCCCATTCTCCCGCTTTCCATCAGCCTGCCCCATACTCCCGCTTTCCATCACCCCGCCCCGTTCTCCTGCTTTCCATCACCCCGCCCCATTCTCCCGCTTTCCATCACCCCGCCCCATTCTCCCGCTTTCTATCACCCTGCCCCATTCTCCCTCCATCCATCACCCCGCCCCATTCTCCCTCCTTCCATCACCCCGCCCCATTCTCCCTCCTTACATCACCCCTTCCCATTCTCCTGCTTTCAATCACCCCGCCCCATTCTCCCGCTTTCCACCACCTCGCCCCATTCTCCCGCCTTCCATCACCCCGCACCATTATCCCTCCTTCCATCACCCCGCCCCATTCTCCCGCTTTCCATCACTCCGCCCCATTCTCCCGCTTTCCATCACCCCACCCCATTCTCCCGATTTCCATCACCCCGCCCCATTCTCCCGCTTTCCATCACCCCGCCCCATTCTCCTGCTTTCCATCACCCCGCCCCATTCTCCTGCTTTCCATCACTCCGCCGCAATCTCCCTCTTTCCAACACCCCACCCCATTCTCCCTTCTTCCATCACCCCGCCCCATTCTCCTGCCTTCCATCACCCCGCCCCATTCTCCCGCTTTCCATCACCCCGCCCCATTTTCCCGTTTTCCATCACCCCGCCACATTCTCCTGCTTTCCATCAACCCGCCCCATTCTCCCACTTTCCACCTCCCCGCCCCATTCTCCCGCTTTCCATCACCCCGCCCCATTCTCCCGCTTTCCATCACCCCACCCCATCCTCCCACCTTCCATCACCCCGCCCCATTCTCCCTCCTTCCATCACCCCAAACCATTCTCCCGCTTTCCATCACCCCACCCCATTCTCCCGCTTTCCATCACCCCGCCCCATTCTCTTCCTTTCCATCACCCCGCCCCATTCTCCCACTTTCCATCACCCTGCCCCATACTCCCGCTTTCCATCACCCCGCCCCGTTCTCCTGCTTTCCATCCCCCCGCCCCATTCTCCCGATTTCCATCACCCCGCCCCATTCTCCGGCTTTGTATCACCCCGCCCCATTCTCCCTCCTTCCCTCACCCCGCCCCATTCTCCCTCCTTCCATCACCCCGCCCCATTCTCCTTTCTTCAATCGCCCCGCCCCATTCTCCTGCTTTCCATCACCCCGCGCCATTCTCCCTCCTTCCATCACCCCGCCCCATTCTCCCACTTTCCATCACCACGCCCCATTCTCCCGCTTTCCATCACCCCACCCCGTTCTCCCACTTTGCATCACACCGCCCCATTCTACAGCTTTCCATCACCCCGCCCCATTTTCCCGCTTTCCATCACCCCGCCCCATTCTTCCACTTTCCATCACCCCGCCCCATTCTCCCGCTTTCCATCACCCCGCCCCATTCTCCCCCTTTCCATCACCCCACCCCACTCTCCCTCCCTCCATCACAGCGCCCCATTTTCCCTCCTTCCATCACCCTGCCCCATTCTCCCGCTTTCCATCACCTCGCCCCATTCTCACGCTTTCCATCACCGCGCCCCATTCTCCTGCTTTCCATCACCCCGCCCCTTTTCTCCCTCCTTCCATCACCCCGCCCCATTCTCCCTCCTTCCATAACCCCGCCCCATTCTCCTGCTTTCCATCACCCTGCCCCATTCTCCCGCTTTCCATCACCCCGCCCCATTCTCCCGCTTTCCCTCACCCCGCCCTATTCTCCCGCACTCCATAGCCCCGCCCTATTCTCCCGCTTTCCATCACCTCGCCCCATTCTCCCGCTTTCCATCACCCCGCCCCAATCTCCCTCCTTCCATCACCCCACCCCATTCTCCCTCCTTTAATCATCACGCCCCATTCTCCCGCTTTCCATCACCCCGCCCCATTCTCCCGCTTTCCATCACCCCGTCCCATTCTCCCACTTTCCATCACCCCGCCCCATTCTCCTGCTTTCCATCAGCCTGCCCCATTCTCTAGCTTTCCATCACCCCGCCCCATTCTCCCGCTTTCCATCACCCCGCCCCGTTCTCCCACTTTCCATCACCCCGCCCCATTCTCTGGGGCAGGGTGATGGAAAGCGGGAGAATGGGGCGGGGTGAAGGAAGGAGGGAGAATGGGGCGGGGTGATGGAAGGAGGAAGAAGGGGGCGGGGTGATGGAAAGCGAGAGAATGGGCTGGGGTGATGGAAAGCGGGAGAATGGGGCGGGGTGATGAAAAGCGGGAGAATGGGGCGGGGTGATGGAAAGCGGGAGAATGGGGTGGGGTGATGGAAAGCGGGAGAATGGGGCGGGGTGATGGAAAGTGGGAGAATGGGGCGAGGTGATGGAAAGCGGGAGAATGGGGCGGGTGATGGAAAGTGGGAGAATGGGGCGGGGTGATGGAAGGAGGGAGAATGGGGAGGGGTGATGGAAAGCGGGGGAATGGGGCGGGATGATGGGAAGCGGAAGAATGGGGCGGGGTGATGGAAAGCGGGAGAACGGGGCGGGGTGATGGAAAGCGGGAGAATAGGGCGGGCTGATGGAAAGCAGGAGAATGGGGCGGGGTGATGAAAGGAGGGAGAACGGGGCGGGGTGATGGAAGGAGAGAGAAGGGGGCGGGGCGATGGAAAGTGGGAAAATGTGGCGGGGTGATGGAAAGCGGGAGAATGGGGTGGGGTTATGGGAAGCAGGAGAATGGGGCGGGGTGATGGAAAGCGCGAGAATGGAGCGGGGTGATGGAAAGCGGGAGAATGGGGCGGGGTGATGGAAAGCGGAAGAATGGGGCGGGTGATGGAAGGAGGAAGAAGGGGGCGGGGTGATGGAAAGCGAGAGAATGGGCTGCGGTGTTGGAAAGCGGGAGAATGGGGCGCGGTGATGAAAAGCGGCAGAATGGGGCGGGGTGATGGAAAGCGGGAGAATGGGGCGGGGTGATGGAAAGCGGGAGAATGGGGCGGTTGATGGAAAGCGGGTGAATGGGGCAGGGTGATGGAAAGCGGGAGAATGGGGCGGGTTGATGGAAAGCGGGAGAATGGGGCGGGGTGATGGAAAGCGGGAGATTGCGGTGGGTGATGGAAAGTGGGAGAATAGGGCGGGGTGATGGAAGGAGGGAGAATGGGGAGGGGTGATGGAAAGCGGGGGAATGGGGCGGGATGATGGGAAGCGGAAGAATGGGGCGGGGTGATGGAAAGCAGGAGAATGGGGCGGGCTGATGGAAAACGGGAGAATGGGGCGGGGTGATGGAAGGAGGGAGAATGGGGCGGGGTGATGGAAGGAGAGAGAAGGGGGCGGGGTGATGGAAAGTGGGAAAATGTGGCGGGGTGATGGAAAGCGGGAGAATGGGGTGGGGTTATGGGAAGCAAGAGAATGGGGCGGGGTGATGGAAAGCGGGAGAATGGAGCGGGGTGATGGAATGAGGGAGAATGGGGCGGGGTGATGGAAGGAGGGAGAATGGGGTGGGGTGATGGAAAGCGGGAGAATGGGGCGGGGTGATGGAAGGAGGGAGAATGGGGCGGGGTGATGGAAAGCGGGAGAATGGGGCGGGGTGATGGAAAGCGGGAGAATGGGGCGGGGTGATGGAAAGCGAGAGAATGGGGCGGGGTGATGGAAGGAGGGAGAATGGGGAGGGGTGATGGAAAGCGGGGGAATGGGGCAGGATGATGGGAAGCGGAAGAATGGGGCGGGGTGATGGAAAGCGGGAGAATGGGGCGGGGTGATGGAAAGCGGGAGAATGGGGCGGGGAGATGGAAAGCGGGAGAAAGGGGAGGGGTGATGGAAAGCGCGAGAATGGGGCGGGCTGATGAAAAGCGGGAGAATGGGGCAGGGTGATGGAAGGAGGGAGAATGGGGTGGGGTGATGGAAGGAGAGAGAAGGGGGTGATGGAAAGTGGGAGAATGTGGCGGGGTGATGGAAAGCGGGAGAATGGGGTGGGGTTATGGGAAGCGGGAGAATGGGGCGGGGTGATGGAAAGCGGGAGAATGGGGCGGGGTGATGGAAGGAGGGAGAATGGGGCGGGGTGATGGAAGGAGGGAGAATGGGGCGGGGTGATGGAAAGCGGGAGAATGGGGCGGGGTGATAGAAGGAGGGAGAATGGGGCGGGGTGATGGAAAGCGGGAGAATGGGGCAGGGTGATGGAAAGCGGGAGAATGGGGCGGGGTATTGGAAAGCGGGAGAATGGGGCGGCGTGATGGAAAGCGGGAGAATGGGGCGGGGTGATGGAAAGCGAGAGAATGGGGCGGGGTGATGGAAGGAGGGAGAATGGGGCGGGGTGATGGAAGGAGGGAGAATGGGGCGGGGTGATGGAAAGCGGGAGAATGGGGCGGGGTGATGGAAGGAGGGAGAATGGGGCGAGGTGATGGAAAGGGGGAGAATGGGGCAGGGTGATGGAAAGCGGGAGAATGTGGCGGGGTATTGGAAAGCGGGAGAATGGGGCGGCGTGATGGAAAGCGGGAGAATGGGGCGGGGTGATGGAAAGCGAGAGAATGGGGCAGGGTGATGGAAGGAGGGAGAATGGGGAGGGGTGATGGAAAGCGGGGGAATGGGGCGAGATGATGGGAAGCGGAAGAATGGGGCGGGGTGATGGAAAGCGGGAGAATGGGGCGGGGTGATGGAAAGCGGGAGAATGGGGCGGAGTGATGGAAAGCGGGAGAATGGGGCGGGGTGATGGAAAGCGGAAGAATGGAGCGGGGTGATGGAAAGCGGGTGAATGGAGCAGGGTGATGGAAAGCGGGAGAATGGGGCGGGGTGATGGAAAGCAGAAGATTGAGACGGGGTGATGGAAAGCGGGAGAATGGGGCGAGGTGATGGAAAGCGGGTGAATGGGGCAGGGTGATGGAAAGGGGGAGAATGGGGCGGGGTGATGGAAGGAGGGAGAATGTGGAGAGGTGATGGAAAGCGGGGGAATGGGGCGGGATGATGGGAAGCGAGGAATGGGGCGGGGTGATGGAAAGCGGGAGAATGGGGCGGGCTGATGGAAAGCGGGAGAATGGGGCGGGGTGATGGAAGGAGGGAGAATGGGGCGGGGTGATGGAAGGAGAGAGAAGGGGGCGGGGTGATGGAAAGTGGGAGAATGTGGCGGGGTGATGGAAAGCGGGAGAATGGGGTGGGGTTATGGGAAGCGGGAGAATGGGGCGGGGTGATGGAAAGCGGGAGAATGGGGCGGGGTGATGGAAGGAGGGAGAATGGGGCGGGGTGATGGAAGGAGGGAGAATGGGGCGGAGTGATGGAAAGTGAGAGAATGGGGCAGGGTGATGGAAAACGGGAGAATGGGGCGGGGTGATGGAAAGCGGGAGAATGGAGCGGGGTGATGGAAAGCGGGAGAATGGGGCGGGGTGATGGAAATCGGGAAAATGGGGCAGGGTGATGGAAAGCGGAAAAATGGGGCGGGGTGATGGAAGGAGGGAGAATGGGGCAGGGTGATAGAAATCAGTGTGGCGGGGTGATGGAAAGCGGGGGAAGGGGGTGGGGTTATGGGAAGCGGGAGAATGGGGCGGGGTGATGCACATGGACGTGGACGTGGACATGGACATGGACGTGGACGTGGACCCACACGTGGACGTGGACGTGGATGTGGACGTGGACGTGGACGTGGACGTGGACGTGGACGTGGTCGTGGACGTGGACGTGGACGTGGACGTGGACATGGACGTGGACATGGACATGGACGTGGACGTGGACATGGACGTGGACGTGGACGTGGACATGGACATGGACGTGGACATGGACGTGGAGGACTTGGACGAAGACGTGGACGTGGACGTGGACGTGGACATGGACATGGACGTAGACATGGACGTGGACGTGGACGTGGACGTGGAGGTGGACGTGGACATAGACGTGGACGTGATGTGGACGTGGACGTGGACATGGACGTGGATATGGACGTGGACATGGACGTGGACGTGGAGGACATAGACGTGGATATGGACGTGGACGTGGACGTGGATGTGGACGTGGACATGGTCGTGGACGTGGACGTGGACGTGGACATGGACGTGGACATGGACGTGGAGGTGGACGTGGACATGGACGTGGAGGTGGACGTGGAGGTGGACATGGACATGGACGTGGACGTGGACGTGGACGTGGACGTGGACATGGACGTGGACATGGACGTGGACGTGGACATGGACGTGGACATGGACGTGGACGTGGACGTGGACATGGTCGTGGACGTGGACGTGGACATGGTCGTGGACGTGGACGTGGACGTGGACGTGGACGTGGACATGAACGTGGACGTGGACATGGACGTGGACATGGACGTGGACGTGGACGTGGACGTGGACGTGGACGTGGACATGGACGTGGACGTGGACATGGACGTGGACCTGGACGTGGAGATGGACGTGGACGTGGACGTGGACGTGGACGTGGACAAGGACGTGGACGTGGACGTGGACGAGGACGTGGACGTGGACGTGGACGTGATGTGGACGTGGACGTGGACATGGACGTGGATATGGACGTGGACATGGACGTGGACGTGGAGGACTTGGACGTGGACATGGACGTGGACGTGGACGTGGACGTGGACGTGGACATGGTCGTGGACGTGGACGTGGACGTGGACATGGACATGGACGTGGACGTGGACGTGGACATGGTCGTGGACGTGGATGTGGAGGTGGACATGGACGTGGACGTGGACGTGGACGTGGACGTGGACGTGGACATGGACGTGGACATGGACGTGGAGGTGGACATGGACATGGACGTGGAGGTGGACGTGGAGGTGGACATGGACATGGACGTGGACGTGGACGTGGACGTGGACATGGACGTGGACGTGGACATGGACGTGGACGTGGAGGACTTGGACGTGGACATGGACGTGGACGTGGACGTGGACGTGGACGTGGACGTGGACGTGGACGTGGACGTGGACGTGGACGTGGACATGGACTTGGACGTGGACGTGGACGTGGACGTGGACATGGTCGTGGACGTGGACGTGGACGTGGACATGGACGTGGACATGGACGTGGACGTGGACGTGGACGTGGACATGGACGTGGACGTGGACGTGGACGTGGACGTGGACGTGGACGTGGACGTGGACGACGTGGACGTGGACGTGGATGTGGACGTGGACGTGGACGTGGAGATGGACGTGGACGTGGACGTGGACGTGGACGTGGACAAGGACGTGGACGTGGACGTGGACGGGGACGTGGACAAGGACGTGGACGTGGACGTGGACATGGACGTGGACGTGGACGACTTGGACGTGGACATGGACGTGGACGTGGACGTGGACGTGGTCGTGGACGTGGACGTGGACGTGGACCTGGACGTGGTCGTCGACGTGGACGTGGATGTGGTCGTGGACGTGGACGTGGACGTGGACATGGACGTGGACGTGGACCTGGACATGGACATGGATGTGGACGTGGACGTGGACATGGACGTGGACGTGGTCGTGGACGTGGACGTGGACGTGGACATGGACGTGGACGTGGACGTGGACGTGGACGTGGACATGGACGTGGACGTGGACGTAGACGTGGAGGTGGACCTGGACGTGGACGTGGACGTGGACGTGGACATGGACGTGGACGTGGTCGTGGACGTGGACGTGGACATGGACGTGGACGTGGACGTGGACATGGACATGGACGTGGACGTGGACATGGACATGGACGTGGACGTGCACGAGGACGTGGACGTGGACGTGGACGTGAACATGGACGTGGACATGGACATGGACGTGGACATGGACATGGACGTGGACGTGGACATGGACGTGGACGTGGACGTGGACATGGACGTGGACGTGGACGTGGACGTGGACATGGACGTGGACATGGACGTTGACGTGGACCTGGACATGGACATGGACGTGGACGTGGACGTGGACATGGATGTGGACGTGGTCGTGGACATGGACGTGGACATGGACGTGGACGTGGACGTGGACATGGTCGTGGACATGGACGTGGACGTGGACGTGGACATGGACGTGGACGTGGACGTGGAGGTGGACCTAAACGTGGACGTGGACGTGGACATGGACGTGGACATGGTCGTGGACGTGGACGTGGACATGGACGTGGACATAGACATGGACATGGACATGGACGTGGACGTGGACGTGGACGTGGACATGGACATGGACGTGGACGTGCACGAGGACGTGGACGTGGACGTGGACGTGGACATGGACGTGGACATGGACATGGACGTGGACATGGACATGGACGTGGACATGGACGTGGACGTGGACGTGGACATGGACGTGGACGTGGACGTGGACATGGACGTGGACATGGACGTGGAGGTGGACATGGAGATGGACGTGGAGGTGGACGTGGAGGTGGACATGGACATGGACGTGGACGTGGACGTGGACGTGGACATGGACGTGGACGTGGACATGGACGAGGACGTGGAGGACTTGGACGTGGACATGGACGTGGACGTGGACGTGGACGTGGACGTGGACATGGACATGGACGTGGACATGGACTTGGACGTGGACGTGGACGTGGACGTGGACGTGGTCGTGGACGTGGACATGGTCGTGGATGTGGACGTGGACATGGACGTGGACGTGGACATGGACGTGGACGTGGACGTGGACATGGTCGTGGACATGGACGTGGACGTGGACGTGAACGTGGACGTGGACGTGGACGTGGACGTGGACGTGGACGTGGTCGTGGTCGTGGACGTGGACGTGGACATGGACGTGGACGTGGACGTGGACATGGACGTGGACGTGGACGACTTGGACGTGGACATGGACGTGGACGTGGACGTGGACGTGGACGTGGTCGTGGACGTGGACGTGGACGTGGACCTGGACGTGGACGTGGACGTGGACGTGGACGTGGTTGTGGACGTGGACGTGGACGTGGACATGGTCGTGGATGTGGACGTGGACATGGACGTGGACGTGGACATGGACGTGGACGTGGACGTGGACATGGTCGTGGACATGGACGTGGACGTGGACGTGGACGTGGACGTGGACGTGGACGTGGTCGTGGACGTGGACGTGGACATGGACGTGGACGTGGACGTGGACATGGATATGGACGTGGACGTGGACATGGACATGGACGTGGACGTGGACGAGGACGTGGACGTGGACGTGGACGTGGACGTGGACATGGACGTGGACGAGGACGTGGACGTGGACGAGGACGTGGACGTGGACGTGGACGTGGACATGGACGTGGACGTGGACGTGGACATGGACGTGGACGTGGACGAGGACATGGACGTGGACGTGGTCGTGGACATGGACGTGGACGTGGACGTGGACGTGCACGTGGACGTGCACGTGTACGTGGACGTGGACGTGCACGTGCACGTGGACGTGGACGTGGAGGTGGACATGGACGTGGACGTGGACGTGGACGTGGACATGGACGTGGACGTGGTCGTGGACGTGGACGTGGACATGGACGTGGACGTGGACATGGACATGGACATGGACGTGGACATGGACGTGGGGGTGGACGTGGACGTGGACGTGGACGTGGACGTGGACGTGGACATGGACGTGGACGTGGACGTGGACGTGGACGTGGACGTGGACGTGGAAGTGGACGTGGACGTGGACATGGACATGGACATGGACATGGACGTGGACATGGACGTGGACGTGGACGTGGACGTGGACGTGGACGTGGACGTGGACATGGACATGGACATGGACGTGGACGTGGACGTGGACGTGGACGTGGACGTGGACGTGGACATGGACGTGGACGTGGACGTGGACGTGGACATGGACGTGGACATGGACGTGGACGTGGTCGTGGACGTGGACGTGGACATGAACGTGGACGTGGACGTGGACGTGGACGAGGACGTGGACGTGGACGTGGACGTGGACGTGGACGTGGACGTGGACATGGACGTGGACATGGACATGGACGTGGACGTGGACATGGACGTGGACGTGGACATGGACGTGGACGTGGACGTGGACATGGACGTGGACGTGGACGTGGACATGGACATGGACGTGGACATAGACGTGGACATGGACATGGACATGGACATGGACGTGGACGTGGACGTGGACGTGGACGTGGATATGGACATGGACGTGGACGTGGACGTGGACATGGACGTGGACGTGGACATGCACATGGACGTGGACGTGGACGTGGACGTGGACGTGGACGTGGACATGGACGTGGACGTGTACGTGGACGTGGACATGGACGTGGACATGGACGTGGACGTGGTCGTGGACGTGGACATGGACGTGGTCGTGGACGTGGACGTGGAGGTGGACGTGGACGTGGACGTGGACGTGGACGTGGACGTGGACATGGACGTGGACGTGGTCGTAGACGTGGACGTGGACATGGACGTGGACGTGGACGTGGACATGGACATGGACGTGGACGTGGACATGGACGTGGACGTGGACGATGACGTGGACGTGGACGTGGACGTGGACGTGGAAATGGACGTGGACATGGACATGGACGTGGACATGGACATGGACGTGGACGTGGACATGGACGTGGACGTGGACGTGGACGTGGACGTGGACGTGGACATGGACGTGGACGTGGACATGGACGTGGACGTGGTCGTGGACATGGACGTGGACGTGGACATGGTCGTGGACGTGGACGTGGACGTGGACGTGGACATGGACGTGGACGTGGACGTGGACATGGACGTGGACGTGGACGTGGACGTGGACATGGACATGGACGTGGACGTAGACGTAGACTTGGACGTGAACGTGGACGTGGACATGGTCGTGGACGTGGACGTGGACGTGGACGTGGACGTGGACATGGACGTGGACGTGGACGTGGACATGGACGTGGACGTGGACGTGGACGTGGACGTGGACGTGGACATGGACGTGGACATGGACGTGGACATGGACGTGGACATGGACGTGGACGTGGACGTGGACGTGGACGTGGACATGGACGAGGACGTGGACGTGGACGTGGACGTGGACGTGGAGGTGGACATGGACGTGGACGTGGACGTGGACATGGAGGTGGACGTGGACATGGTCGTGGACGTGGACGTGGACGTGGACGTGGACGTGGACATGGACGTGGACGTGGACGTGGACGTGGACATGGACGTGGACGTGGACGTGGACATGGACGTGGACGTGGACGTGGACATGGACGTGGACGTGGACATGGACGTGGACGTGGACGTGGACATGGACGTGGAGGACTTGGACGTGGACGTGGACGTGGACGTGGACGTGGACCTGGACGTGGACGTGGACGTGGACGTGGACCTGGACGTGGACATGGACGTGGACGTGGACCTGGACGTGGACATAGACGTGGACATGAACATGGACGTGGACGTGGACGTGGACGACGTGGATGTGGACGTGGACGTGGACGTGGACGTGGACGTGGACATGGACCTGGACGTGGACGTGGACATGGACCTGGACGTGGACGTGGACGTGGACGTAGACGTGGACATGGACGTGGACGTGGACGTGGACGTTGACGTGGACGTGGACGTGGAGGTGGACGTGGATGTTGACGTGGACGTGGACATGGACGTGGATGTGGACGTGGACGTTGACGTGGACGTGGACGTGGACATGGACGTGGACGTGGACGTGGACGTGGACATGGACGTGGACGTGGACGTGGACGTGGACGTGGACATGGACATGGTCGTGGACGTGGACGTGGTCGTGGACGTGGACGTGGACGTGGACGTGGACATGGACGTGGACGTGGATGTGGACGTGGACGTGGACATGGACATGGTCGTGGACGTGGACGTGGACGTGGACGTGGACCTGGACGTGGACGTGGACGTGGAGGTGGACATGGACGTGGACGTGGACGTGGACGTGGAGGTGGACGCGGAAATGGACGTGGACGTGGTCGTGGTCGTGGACGTGGACGTGGTCGTGGACGTGGACGTGGACATGGACGTGGACGTGGACGTGGACATTGACGTGAACGTGGACGTGGACATGGACGTGGACGTGGACATGGACGTGAACGTGAACGTGGACATGGACGTGGACGTGGAGATGGGCGTGAACGTGAACGTGGACATGGCGTGGACGTGGACATGGACATGGAAGTGAACGTGGACGTGGACATGGACGTGGACGTGGACGTGGATGTGGACATGGTCGTGGACGTGGACGTGGACGTGGACGTGGACGTGGACGTGGACGTGGACGTGGACATGGACATGGACGTGGACGTAGACGTAGACTTGGACGTGAACGTGGACGTGGACATGGTCGTGGACGTGGACGTGGACGTGGACGTGGACATGGACGTGGACGTGGACGTGGACATGGACGTGGACGTGGACGTGGACGTGGACGTGGACATGGACGTGGACATGGACGTGGACATGGACGTGGACATGGACGTGGACGTGGACGTGGACGTGGACGTGGACATGGACGTGGACATGGACGAGGACGTGGACGTGGACGTGGACGTGGACGTGGAGGTGGACATGGACGTGGACGTGGACGTGGACATGGATGTGGACGTGGACATGGTCGTGGACGTGGACGTGGACGTGGACGTGGACGTGGACATGGACGTGGACGTGGACGTGGACGTGTGTTGGTGCAACCTTATGGTTTGCACTCGGCTTGTTGTCCGTGTGCGTGCATGTGTGTGTGTCTATGGAATGGTATGAGGGCATGGGATAATATATATTTAATGCTTATAATTGTGTGTGAATGTTGGGTCATGATGTCGAGTGTATGTGTCGAGTCAATAGCGAGTTATCGCTAGACGCGTGTTACGTGGTCGTTTATGTCTCGCGCGCGGTTTCTATTTTGTCGTGCGCGGTTTCTCTTTTGTCCTGTGTCGAACGTTCGGTGTGTCGCAGGTGTGTGCAGCAGACCCATCAAGAACTCAAGGATGAGTTTGTGATGAAGAGCCGAGCCTTGGTGTCAATCCACAAGTGATTTCAAAGCTCTCCAAAAAGGGTACTCCTCAAGATATTGAAGATAGTTACATTACTTTGTGTAGTGTAACATTTCACTTGGTGTAGGCCCTAGTGAAGGGTAGTTTCGAGACCCTTCGTGGTTGGGGACAGTGTGGCACTGTTCCACATCACTGTACCTCGGCTCTTGGGGTTTGTAGGAGCTGGGAGTCATTCCCAACTCGTAACTCTTCCTAACTCTTCCTATCTTGTGTTCTAAGACCATAGTAGCTGCCATAGTGCCGTTCGTTCAAACCAACCCTGTGTCGTGAATACTTGGTCAAATCGTGCGATCTAAATTGCCTATTGTAGGCGACAATAAGGCGCTCCAGATCCAAGTTGAATCAAGTCATTTGAAGCTGTGACCAAAACGCTATGAACGTTTGAAGCCGCTGTGCAGAAATCCGACTGTGCACTCTATCTTTCGTTTTAGGCACATTGGAGCCTACTGTGACTATAACAACGTGGACGTGGACGTGGACGTCGACATGGACGTGGACGTCGACGTAGACGTGGACGTGGACGTGAACGTGGACGTCGACATGGTCGTGGACCTGGACGTGGACGTGGACGTGGACATGGACGTGGACGTGGACGTGGACGTGGACGTGGACATGGACGTGGACGTGGACGTGGACGTGGACGTGGACATGGACGTGGACGTGGACGTGGACGTGGACGTGGACGTGGACGTGGACGTGAACATGGACGTGGACATGGTCGTGGACGTGGACATGGATGTGGACGTGGACATGGACGTGGACATGGACGTGGACATGGACATGGACGTGGACGTGGACGTGGACGTGGACATGGACATGGACGTGGACGTGGACGTGGAGGACTTGGACGTGGACGTGGACGTGGACGTGGACATGGACATGGACGTGGACATGGACGTGGACGTGGACATGGACGTGGACGTGGACATGGAGGTGGACGTGGACATGGACCTGGATGTGGACGTGGACGTGGACGTGGACATGGACGTGGAGGACGTGGACATGGACGTGGACGTGGAGGACTTGGACGTGGACATGGACGTAGACGTGGACGTGGACGTGGACGTGGACATGGTCGTGGACGTGGACGTGGACGTGGACATGGACATGGACGTGGACGTGGACGTGGAGGACTTGGACGTGGATGTGGACGTGGACATGGACATGGACGTGGACATGGACGTGGAGGTGGACATGGACATGGACGTGGACGTGGACGTGGAGGTGGACGTGGACATGGATGTGGACGTGGACGTCGACGTGTACGTGGACATGGACGTGGACGTGGACATGGACGTGGACGTGGAGGACTTGGACGTAGACATGGACGTTGACGTGGACGTGGACGTGGACATGGATGTGGACATGGACGTGGACGTGGACGTAGACGTGGACGTGGACATGCACGTGGACATGGACGTGGACGTGGACATGGACGTGCACGTGCACGTGGATGTATACATGGACATGGACGTGGACGTGGACGTGGACGTGGACATGGACGTGGACATGGACGTGGACGTGGACGTGGACATGGGCGTGGACGTGGACGTGGACGTGGACATGGACGTGCACGTGCACGTGCACGTAGACGTGGACATGGACGTGGACATGGACGTGGACGTGGACGTGGACGTGGACGTGGACGTGGACATGGACGTGCACGTGCACGTGGACGTGGACGTGGACATGGACGTGGACGTGGACGTGGACGTGGACATGGACGTGGACGTGGACGTGGACGTGGACATGGACGTGCACGTGCACGTGGACGTGGACGTGGACATGGACGTGGACGTGGACGTGGACGTGGACATGGACGTGGACATGGACGTGGACGTGGACATGGAGGTGGACGTGGAGGTGGACGTGGAGGTGGACGTGGACATGGACGTGGACATGGACGTGGACGTGGACATGGACGTGGACGTGGACGTGGATGTGGACGTAGACGTGGACGTGGACATGGACGTGGACGTGGAGGTGGACATGGACGAGAGCTTGCCTGGTCCAGGAGCTTGCCTGGTCCAGGAGCTTGCCTGTTCCACGAGCGTGCGTGGTCCAGGAGCTTGCCTGGTCTAAGAGCTTGCATGGTCCAGGAGCGAGCCTTGTCCTGGAGCTTGCCTGGTCCAGGAGCTATCCTGGTCCAGGAGCTTGCCTTGTCCAGGAGCTTGCCTGGTCCTAGAGCTTGCCTGGTCCAGGATCTTGCTTGGTCCAAGACCGTGCCTAGTCCAAGAGCTTGCCTGGTCCTGAAGTTTGCCTTGTCCAGGAGCTTGCCTGGTTAAGAAGCGTGCCTGGTCCTGGAGCGTGCCTGGTCTAGGAGTGTGCCTGGTCTAGGAGCTTGCGTGGTCTAGGAGCTTGCCTGGTCCAAGAGCTATCCTGGTCCAGGAGCTTGCCTTGTCCAAGAGCTTGCCTGGTCCTAGAGCTTGCCTGATCCATGATCTTGCTTGGTCCAAGAGCGTGCCTGGTCCAAGAGCTTTCCTCTTCCTGAAGTTTGCCTCGTCCACGAGCTTGCCTGGTCCAGGAGCTTGCCTGGTCCAGGAGCTTGCCTAGTTCAGGAGCTTGCGTGGTCCAGGAGCTTTCCTGGTCCAGGAGATTGCGTGATCCAAGAGCTTGCCTGTTCCACGAGCGTGCGTGGTCCAGGAGCTTGCCTGGTCTAGGAGCTTGCTTGGTCCAGGAGCTATCCTCGTCCAGGAACTTTCCTGGTCCTAGAGCTTGCCTGGTCCAAGATCTTGCTTGGTCCAAGAGCGTGCCTAGTCCAAGAGCTTGCCCGGTCCTGAAGTTTGCCTCGTCCTGGAGCTTGCCTGGTCCAGGAGCTTGCCTGGTCCAGGAGCTTGCCTGGTCCAGGAGCTTGCGTGGTCCAGGAGCTTGCCCGGTCCACGAGCTTGCCTCGTCCAGGAGCTTGCCTGGTCCAGGAGCGTGCCTGGTCCACGAGTTTGCCTGGTCCAGGAGCTTGCCTGGTCTAGGAGCTTGCATGGGCTAGGAGCGTGCCTGGTCCCGGAGCTTGCCTGGTCCACTAGCTATCCTGGTCCGGGAGCTTGCCTGTTCCAGGAGCTCTTGGACCACGCAAGCTTCTGGACCAGGCAAACTCGTGGACCAGGCACGCTCCTGGACAAGGCAAGCTCCTGGACTAGGCAAGCTCCTAGACCAGGCAAGCTCCTGGTCCACGCAAGCTCCTAGACCACGCAAGCTCTTGGACCAGGCAAGCTCTTGGACCACGCAAGCTCTTGGACCAAGCAAGCTCCTGGACCAGGCAAGCTCCAGGACCACGCAAGCTCCTGGACCACGCAAGCTCTTGGACCAGGCACGCTCTTGGACCAGGCAAGCTCTTGGACCGGGCAGGCTTCGGGGCCAAGCAAGCTTTTGGACCAGGCAAGCTCCTAGACCAGGCAAGCTCCTGGACCACGCAAGCTCCTAGACCAGGCACGCTCGTGGACCATGCACGCTCTTGGACCAAGCAAGCTCTTGGACCAGGCAAGCTCCTGGACTAGGCAAGCTTCCGGACCAGGCAAGCTCCTGGACCACGAAAGCTCCTGGACTAGGCAAGCTCCTGGTCCAGGCACGCTCTTGGACCAGGCAAGCTCGTGGATCAGGCAATCTCCTGGACCAGGCAAGCTCCTAGACCAAGCAAGCTCCTGGACCAGGCAAGCTCTTGGACCAGGTAAGCTCCTGGACCAGGCAAGCTCCTGGACCAGGCACGCTCGTGGAACAGGCAAGCTCTTGGACCAGGCAAGCTCCTGGACCATGCAAGCTCCTAAACCACGCAAGCTCTTGGACTAGGCAAGCTTCTGCACCAGGCAAGCTCGTGGACCAGGCACGCTCCTGGACAAGACAAGCTCCTGGACCAGGCAAGCTCCTAGACCAGGCAAGCTCCTGGACCTGGGAAGCTCCTAGACCACGCAAGCTCTTGGACTAGGCAAGCTCTTGGACCAGGCACGCTCGTGGACCAGGCAAGCTCCTGGACCAGGCAAGCTCCCGGAAAAGGCAAGCTCCTTGACCAGGCAAGCTCTTGGACCAGGAAAGCTCCTGGACCAGGATAGCTCCAAGACCAAGCAAGCTCCTGGACCAGGCACACTCCTCGACCATGCAAGCTCCTAGACCAGGCAAGCTCCTGGACGAGGCAAGCTTTTGCACCAGGCAAACTCGTGGACCAGGCACGCTCCCGGACTAGGCAAGCTCCTGGACTAGGCAAGCTCCTAGACCAGGCAAGCTCCTGGACCAGGCAAGCTCGTGGACCACGCAAGCTCTTGGACTAGGCAAACTCTTGGACCAGGCAAGCTCCTGGACCAGGCAAGCTCCTGGACCAGGCAAGCTCCTCGACCACGCAAACTCCTGGATCACGCAAGCTCTTGTACCAGGCACGCTCCTGGACAAGGCAAGCTCTTGGACCAGGCAGGCTTCTGGACCAAGCAAGCTATTAGTCAACGCAAGCTCCTGGACCTGGCAAACTCCTGGACCAGGCATGCTCGTGGACCATGCACGCTCCTGGACGAGGCAAGCTCTTTGACCACGCAGGCTTGTGGACCAGGCAAGCTCCTGGACCAGGCAAGCTCCTGGACCAGGCAAGCTCCTTGACCAGGCAAGCTCCTGGACCAGGCAAGCTCCTGGACCAGGCACGCTCGTGGACCATGCACGCTCTTGGACTAGGCAATCTCTTGGACCAGGCACGCTCCTTGAACAGGCAAGCTCCTGGACCACGCAAGCTCCTGGACCAGGCAAGCTCTTGGACCAGGAAAGCTCCTGGACCAGGCAAGCTCTTGGACTAGGCACGCTCCTGCACCATGCAAGCTCTTAGACAAGGCAAGCTCCTGGACCAGGCAAGCTTCTGGACCAGGCAAGTTCGTGGACCAGGCACGAACCTGGACCAGGCAAGCTCCTGGACCAGGCAAGCTCCTAGACCAGGCAAGCTCCTGAACTAATAAGCTCCTAGATCAGGCAAGTTCCTAGACCAGGCAAGTTCATGGACCAGGCACGCTCGTGGACCATGTTCGCTCTTGGACCAGGCAAGCTCTTCGACCAGGCACGCTCCTCGAAAAGGCAAGCTCCTGGACCATTCAAGCTCCTGGACCGGGATAGCTCCTGGACCAGGCAAGCTCCTAGACCAGGCACGCTCCTGGACCATGCAAGCTCCTAGACCAGGCAAGCTTCTGGACCAGGCAAACTCGTGAACCACGCACGCTCCAGGACCAGGCAAGCTCCTGGACCAAGCAAGCTCCTAGACCAGGCAAGCTCATGGACGAGGCAAGCTTGTGGACCACGCAAGCTCTTGGACTAGGCAAGCTCCTAGACCTGGCAAGCTCCTGGACCAGGCAAGCTCCTAGACCAGGCAAGCTCCTAAACCAGGCAAGCTTGTGGACTAGGCAAGATCCTGGACCAGGCAAGCTCCTGGACAAGGCAAGCTCCTGGACCAGGCAAGCTCATGGACCAGGCAAGCTCCTGGACCAGGCTCGCTCGTGGACCATGCACGCTCCTGGACCAGGCAAGCTCTTGGACCAGGCAGGCTCGTGGACCAGGCAGGCTCGTGGACCAAGCAAGCTCCTAGACCACTAAAGCTCCTGGACCGGGATAGCTCTTGGACCAAGCAAGCTCCTAGACCAGGCACGCTCATGGACCATGCAAGCTTCTAGACCAGGCAAGCTTCTGGACCAGGCAAACTCGTGGACCACGAACGCTCCTGGACCAGGCAAGCTCCTGGACCAAGCAAGCTCCTAGACCAGGCAAGCTCATAGATGAGGCAAGCTTGTGGACCACGCAAGCTCTTGGACTAGGCAAGCTCCTAGACCAGGCAAGCTCCTGGACCAGGCAAGCTCCTAGACCAGGCAAGCTCTTGGACAAGGCAGGCTTGTGGACTAGGCAAGCTCCTGGACTAGGCAAGCTCCTGGACTAGGCAAGCTCCTTGACCAGGCAAGCTCCTGGACCAGGCACGCTCGTGGACCATGCACGCTCCTGGACCAGGCAAGCTCTTGGACCAGGCAGGCTCGTGGACTAGGCAAGCTCCTGGACCACTAAAGCTCCTGGACCAGGCAAGCTCGTGGACTAGGCAAGCTCCTGGACCAGGCTCGCTCCTGGGCCACGCACGCTACTGGACTAGGCACGCTCTTGGACCATGCAAGCTCGTGGATCAGGCACGCTCCTGGACCAGGCAAGCTCCTGGACCAGCCAAGCTCCTGGACCAGGCAAGCTCTTGGACCAGGAAAGCTCCTGGACCAGTTAAGCTCCTGGACCAGGCAAGCTAACGGACCAAGAAAGCTCCTGGACAAGGCCAGCTCCTGGACCAGGCACGCTCGTGGAACAGGCAAGCTCCTGGACAAGGCAAGCTCCTGGACAAGGCAAGCTCCTGGATAGGGCAAGCTTCTGGACCAGGATAGCTCCTGGACTAGGCAAGCTCCTGGACCACGCATGCTCCTGGACCATGCAAGCTCCTAGACAAGGCAAGCTCCTGGACCAAGCAAGTTTCTGGACCAGGCAAACTCGTGCACCAGGCACGCTCCTGGACCAGGCAAGCTCGTGGACCAGGCAAGCTCCTAGACCACGCAAGCTGTTGGACCAGGCAAGCTCTTGGTGTTGGTGCAACCCTATGGTTTGCACTCGGCTTGTTGTCCGTGTGCGTGCATGTGTGTGTGTCTATGGAATGGTATGAGGGCATGGGATAATATATATTTAATGCTTATAATTGTGTGTGAATGTTGAGTCATGATGTCGAGTGTATGTGTCGAGTCAATAGCGAGTTATCGCTAGACGCGTGTTACGCGGTCGTTTGTGTCTCGCGCGCGGTTTCTATTTTGTCGTGCGCGGTTTCTCTTTTGTCCTGTGTCGAACGTTCGCTGTGTCGCAGGTGTGTGCAGCAGACCCATCAAGAACTCAAGGATGAGTTTGTGATGAAGAGCCGAGCCTTGGTGTCAATCCACAAGTGATTTCAAAGCTCGCCAAAAGGGTACACCTCAAGATATTGAAGATAGTTACATTACTTTGTGTAGGCCCTAGTGAAGGGTAGTTTCGAGACCCTTCGTGGTTGGGGACAGTGTGGCACCGTTCCACATCACTGTACCTCGGCTCTTGGGGTTTGTAGGAGCTGGGAGTCA